TACTGATGCTGGTGGGCAATGTAGTTCTGCAGCCCTCATCTTTCTTGGTTATGCCCATCTGCTTTCAGGTTTTAAGTGACAGAAACATACTTAAAATGAAAGCTAAGATTGTAGGGATGCCAAACTCCACAACCAGTACCAGATTCCAGCTTGTTAGTTGAATCAGGAGGCCTGCTTATGTTAATGCGTAGTTAGAAGTGATTAAACAAACTCAGTAACATAATCCCCATGTTACAAAAAGACATGCAAACTGTTTAGGTCTGAGTGTTGGCACCTTGTCTGAAAGACTGTGTAAGTATCAAGTGAGCAAAATTAAAGCCAGTTCATGGAACTAAATTGGCATGTCAGGAGTTGTGCATTGAGCAAATCCATACAGAGAATGGTGTGTGAGAAAGCAGTTCTGTAAATCTTTCGGCTCAGTCTTCATTAACCCTGCTATTGAGCTTAGAGCGATTCTTCAGTACCTTCATAGATAAGGGGTTCGATTGCAACGTGAGCACGTCACGAAGCAGTAACAAGATCACGGCCACCTGCATCCACTCTGTATTCTTCCCAGTATCCCAGTTGGGCTTTATGAAGTGGCCCTTTGAGGTAGAGCATTTTCAGAATAATTGCTTGTGCTCTCCCGCTTTGTCATTGTACATGTCCCTATTTGTTTTAATGAGCTTAGACTTTATGGACAGTATCAGATAATGCCATGTTGCTGGTATAATTCATTGTTAGCACCATGTTATTAGTCCTGGTTAAGCAAAAGGGAAAAAAATACAGTGATTGGCCACTGAATTTCAGTGACAAATCACACGGGTTGCTTTTTCCGTTTGCTCAGCAAGTGCTAATAATGTTATGCTAGCACCAGTTTACAGCCGCACAGCTTCATTCACATTGCCACTGTGTCCGCATTGGATCCATGGGTGGTCTTCCTTCTCTGTCAGCCTCAGGAAATGGAATGACAGTTTTAATCAGCCCAAGTCTGTCGGGCAAGATATACCCAGTTGTTGTTGTTATGTGCTGTCAATTTGTCTCTGACTTAGAGTGACCCTCTAAGTGAAAGTCCTCCAAAATCTCCTTTCCATGGCAGTCCTGCTAGCTGCCCTAAACTGAAGCCTGTGGCTTCCTTTATGGAGTCGATCCATCTCATATTTGATCTTTCCTTATACCCAATGAATTGCTGTTAACACCAGGCTAAATGCTTGGGAAAGAACCCAGAACTTCCATCTTTAAACAACGTTCAGTTTGTGTTGCCACTTCACACACAAGGAATGGTTCTTGACCTGAGCAGAATTCTTGAACCTGGAATTATCTTGCTAGATCAGTCTGGTAAGACCAGGAAGTCTTCCTGGCTAATGAGAGGGGATAAAAATCCAATAAATAATAAAATGCTGATTCAGCAAAACGTGCAGCAAGTGGGTCTCACAAATGGAAATAGCCACTCTCTACTGTCTACTAGAAAGATGTGGGATGTGGGCATGGAGTTTCCCTTTTAAGTTTCCATGACTATGATTACACTATAATGCAGTACCAATGTGGTGTAGGGGTAAAGGACTTGGACTTGAGAAGACCAGTCTCTGTTGCGCACTCAGCCATGAAACTCACTCGGTGACTTTGGGCAACTCACTGAGAATCCTCCTGATCCACCTCCCAGAATAGCTGTTGTGCGGATAAAAATGGAGAGGAAGAGGACCGTGTAAGCTGTTATAGGTTCTGTAAAAGGGGAGACAAGGTTGGATATAAATAATGCATGCATTTGTTCTCTTCTGATTTGTCAAATTGTTTTGACACTGGCCTAATTTCATGGCAAAGTATTATGCATTTGGTTATGAAATGATTCCTTCTTTTCATCTAGTACCTATGAGGAATCAGTTTCCCTGGATAACTCCAGGTTCTTAGTGGGGAAAGAAAGTTTATTTAATATACTCTGCTTGCTGTCATTTCATAGTTATACAGAGATGGTACCTATACCATTTAAATGCTCCAAGCCTACTGAAGCAGAATGCTGTACATCATTCCTCTGTGGTAAGGATTTTAATCTTGACCTGTAACAAGGCACGGGTTAAAATGGTAATGAAAGCAGCAAAGGGAAGCATCTAAAGGTATATGGTATGATACTACTGAACAGGTCCAGGCCTCAAACTGAACTTGGATGGATGGGAGACCATCTGGGAACTGTATATCAGCCAATTCACACTACAGAAGGGAAGGATGCTATAGAAGTGAAATAATATCATTCCCTATGGTAGTGAACTCATGTGGCTGAACACATATCAGTTTCAAAACTTAACTGGGCCAGAAAATTGAAGTTAGATGTTTTTACATGCTTGGAGGACTCCTGAGTTATGCAGAATATATATATATATATATATATATATATATATATATATATATATATGTAAATTAAAACAAATTCAATTTTTTTAAACTAGCCGAAGAAACCTGATGGAAACCAGTGAGCTCCAGGTGATATGGAACATTTAGGTTTTAGTTAAAAGGAGAGGAAGAAATCATACTTCACCCACAACTACATAGGAACAATTCATGTAGTGAGAAAGAAACGGGGATTTTTTTCCCTTCCAAGTCTCAGGAATCCCACCCCAACTTTAGTATAAAATGCTCAGTTCAAGGATAACAGCCAGCTCCAAATCTGAATCTTGGATTAAAAAAAAGGAAAAGCGACTTTTTAAATTCCCCTCCCAGGCCTGAAAGGACTAAAAAGTTCCAAGCTGATTGGACCCAGAACAGAAGCATTTTTAAGAAGTTAGGAAGACATTGCAACATAATGTTGCATGTTTCATTTGCAGTAATCTGTCTGTCCCAACACCAGAACAAGGCTGGACCTTTTCTGGGTCCTGGGTATGCAAATACACAAGCAATTTAGCTCATTCTTTTCACTGTTCAGTCTTTAGTGGGCTGTAGAGACATTTTTGTTCTGCTCAGCATTTGATGCTTTTTAATAAGAGGTTAATAAGTGGTTTTTGTCTTGAGGTTTTATTCTGGTTTAACCCTCTTATTGTTTTGTATTCTGCCTTTTTGCAGAAAAATGGTCTATAAATAGGCGTCTTGGTATGATCAAGATTACTTTTTAATAATAATTTGTGTAATGATTCTAATGTATTTATATATCTCATTCATTCTTCAGCAACTTTAAGAAATTTATTTATTTTATTTATTTTTGGATTTATAACCTGCCTTTTTCCTACAAAGGGCTCAAGGCAGCTTACATCTCCTCCTCCATCTTCTCCCCACAACAACAACCCTGTGAGGTAGGTTGGGCTGAGAGTCTGTGACTGGCCCAAACTCACCCAGTTGGCTCCATGGCCGAGCGGGGACTAGAACCCAGGTTGTCTGAGTCCCAGTCCCATGCTCTTAACCACTACACCACACTGGCTCTCCACACTGGCTTAACTACTACACCACACTGAAATAGTTTATCGTTATTCCCACTTTGTAGAACAAGAGTTGCATTGGGATTTAAACCCACTGGTGAACTGGGATTTGAAGCTAAGTTTCCTAAGTCAAAGTGTAAGTGGAACACACTGGATCTTAAGACACACATATTAAAGCAATAATATCCTTTCATAATGATACAGAAGTTTTTGCCTTGGACTACATTTCACATCCTCTGCCCCGCTAGCTGAAGCTACCAAGACGTCTGTGATGGGAGGGTATAGAAAAGTTTTAAATAAAATAAAATAAATACTCAGCATTCTGAGAGGGACATTGCTTTCTCTGACATGAAGGTGAAGAAGGTGGTGATTAAAAACATTTACTGGCTGCTTTTCAGGACAGGAGATTAATATATCAGAGCATTCAGCTTTGACCAATGTTCCCTGGCTTTGCTTTTCAATTGCCACCATGCCTTCTTTTGACTTTTTGAGAATCTTGCCTACACACCTGCCAAACATTCTTCTGGATTTGATTTATATTTTAGAGTTTAGATACTGAATCCAGACATGGCTGCCTCCTAAACAAGTTTGTGGAATGTTACGATACTTATCTGCACCGGTCTCCTGTTTTTAAAGTTAGAAGTGGAGTGGAGGGTCACAACTGTAACAAAAACCTAAGCTATGTGGTACAGATATACTGGTCTAATTATATACCTTTCCTCATGGATAACAGCTGTCACAGTGAAGGATAATGCTACTAGAACATTTCTCATTTGACCCATTGTCTTGGGGACAGACAGAGAAATTGTGTGTTTCAAATGTTTTGAAATCTGTGTGCAAGATATTACCCTGGGTAATAAAAACTTTCTTGTTAACCATGACATGTTTTTATAACCTTATTTATATCTACCCTGACGCCATGGCTGGATGCAAGGTGCCTTTTTCATACCGGTGGCTTTCAGCACAAATGCAGTATTGTATCACCTCGTGACAGCATTTCACCATCCGCTTGGCGTCCTTGGCTTTCTTCTTGTTATCCTGCCCCCCTCTCCCCATCCCTGTTGCTGCTTCTTCCTTGAAGCTTGACATTTAAAGCTATTCCAAATGCTACAAGCAGTCATCATGGGGGCAAACAGTATGCTTTTGATAAGAGCATACAAGAACTTGGGGAGATACATTCTGGCATTTGTCTTCTAAGTAAACAAACCACAAAAGCTGCTGGCCTTCCGAAACATTTGCTAGGCTGGTGGGGCTGGCAGTGGAGGGGCAGGAAGCTCTCGCTGTCCCACAGTTCTATGGTGGGTGGGCAGGCGGGCAGTCTCCATCTCACCTCCACTGCCAGCCGTTCCTTCTTCTATAGGCAGAGTGTGGTTGTCTGCAGCAGCTGTGCTAGTGCTGAAATACATAGCTGATGTGTGTACTTGCTCTGCAAACTGTCTTTCCTCCTTGACTCCCAGTTTTACAGTTCTGGAAGATACTTCCAGGCATTATAAACTAAAGACATTCAGTGTGCCCCCAAATGATCATCTGGAAAAACATTTAAGAGGTGGAAACTGGCAATAAAATTACTTGATGTATATTAGACAAAGCATATATCATATATCAACCTGTTTCTTACAGGCCCAGGACTTGAATGTGATTGAAGAAGTCATCCGCATGATGTTAGAGATAATAAACTCCTGTTTGACCAACTCTCTGCATCACAACCCTAATTTAGTGTATGCATTGCTTTATAAGCGGGATCTCTTTGAGCAATTTCGAACACACCCTTCTTTCCAGGATATAATGCAGAATATAGATCTGGTAAGTGCAATTTTCTCCCTCTGGTATTTAAAAATGTCCTTTACATTGCTTTCTTAAAAAACTACTTTTTGTTTATATGTTCTATGTGTACAAATTGTTCTGTTCATTGTGGAAGGCTAATTTATATTTTTCTTGGCATTGCACATATGGGTATGTTTCTCACAATTGAGTACACACAGGGCCAAAGTGTATTTATGTATAAAATATCCAAAGTTTTACACACCGTATAAATATGATAAACTAGAAGTATTACTTTCAGGATTACTATTTAATAGACAATAAAAAGGGATGGAGAGAGAGAGAAAGGAAACACAAAAATTGCCCTTTGGTTAGGTGTTAGGAGTGTTTCTGAATTTAGTTGTTCCGCTGCCGTAGCTTGTTCAAAATGGTTTTACGTGGCTATATTTTTATCTTATATTTTTAATTCCATTGTAAGCTTCCACAAGAGTTCCTACTTGCTAGTAGAGTTACCTGGCATATAATCGGAGTTGTAGTGAATGGCAGTGGGAACTAAAATATTTTCACCTCACTCAAAGTCTGCTGTGGTTAAGAATGCCTGGGTTTCCCCCTTGGAAACATGCGAGATAGACTAGAGACGGCACTCCAGTTGATTCAGTCTTTCAACAGAAGAGGATATTTGCTTGCTAGTTACATTTAAGCAATAATTATAAAATGTTGATAATAATATTATCAATTAATGAATCACGCACACACCTCAAAAATTCTAAAAACCTTCAGAAAGCAGAATCCTGAGTGCTCGGATGGCTGAATGAACCCTGGAAAACACAATTCCTTGACAAATATCATCATATCATTATTTACTGAACTGATTTTATAGACACTTTTTTCCAGGCATTTGTTTAAGATAATTTTAAAAGCTAGACATAAATATTTTCATGCATATTTATTTTAAAGTATTTTCTCTGTAGCCTTTCTTTTGCAGAGGTGGCTTACATCAAAGTAAAAAATACTGTAATTAAACCAGCATAACAACACATTAACAGCACAGGATAAAATTAAAACACATAAGAATACCAACTAGCCTGCAAACTCTGTTTTTCACTAGTGACGAGAAAAAAAAAAAGATTTCAGATTGCCACCCAAAATACCATCAACAGGAAAGTCCACCAAATCTCCTGGGAGAAGGAATTCTGTAATACAAGTTCTGCCTTTGGAAAAATGCTGTTGTATACCCATCTACCCTAATTCAGATGGTGGGGAGACATGAAATAAGAGAAGGCAGTCCGTTGAGACACCCTGTGTAAGGCAGTTTAGCATGCAGTCTTATTTGTGACTAGACAGGAAAAAGTCCTCCCACTCCCAGCATTCCCCAGCCAGCCAGCATGGTTGTCTGCGTAAAGCTGGGATTCCTACAATCTTTTTCCTCTGTCAAAACATGCATCATACTGTGTCAGTAAGCCTATAAACAGAGCCATCCGAAGAGCTGTCAATACCAGCACTGGGCCTGGAGATCAGCAGGAAGCCCTTCTATTGGAGCAATATTTATGCTCCATGTGGCAGGCCGCACTTCATGACCTTACTGCCTCATTCATAATTTGGGACATTTCCAGTCTATTCTGGAAAATGCCAGCATTTCTATTAAATGAGAGTAGAAGAGATTGCTTGTTGAAAGGACTTCAGTCTTTCCTGGCATTAAAAGAGACCCATGAGAAGATTGTTCATGACTCTGTCTCTAGTATTTTGGCTGGTTTAGGGAAGTATGCATGCAAAGATGGCATGCTGTGCTTCTCATATTCCCAGACTTGCATATACATACATTATTTTCATGATATGCAGGTTATGCTGTCTGGATTTGTGGGACTGAGTTACAACAACTCAGATATTGTACAGATAGAAAACATCTGGCTTATTTAGTAGCCAAGGTTGGTATGATTTCTGTTCTCATTCACTGCTAAGATTTACTCGAGAACTAAATGGGCTGCAGTTCTGAGGAATGTGATGGGGACTGATGACCTAAGTGTTGCAGAGAGTTGGTTAGTTTTGATGTGTTGAGCATTTCCTGAAGGATGAATAGTTTTAACAACACATATCAAAAACTGGAGAAACATTCAAATAAATAAAGTGAAGAATAACTATAGCCATTTGCTTCAAGCAGCCAGTTTTTGGTCTTTAAGGATGTCTTCATAGAGCAGGTGTTCATTTACATTAAATGACTTATTATTTTCATTTAAATTACGGAGATTTAATAGGGCTTCTTAGATTAAAAAAAAGAAGTACTTGCTGTCCTGAGAACCTTCTGCAAGAGTGCGAGAGAGACTGTCTTTCATGGACAAGATCTGGTATAACACAAAGGAGCTAGAATAACCCTCTTTAAATTTCCAATGTGAACTCATAAGCTGGCCTTAAGCAAAGCAGTAGCAGCCTCAGACATCACAACAAAATAATACAAGGAGAACCAGGCATGCTCAGTAACCACATAAGGTGAAGTACGCGTTGAGGGGAAAGTGGGAAATGGGGTGGGGCAGAACTTCTAAGGAGCCATTCACAACTGGCTGTAGCTCCCATCATTTTGACTAGCACAGCATTGGCTATACAACCTACAAATGACAGAAGTTGTAGTCTAGCCACCCAGAGGGTGCCAGTTTGTGGAGATCTGACATCTGCCATTTTGGAAGATGGCTTAGCTGGCTAGCAAGAGCCTGAACAGAAAGAAAATGCTGAAACGTTTTAGTTACAAGTTTTATGTGTCTGGTATAATTGTAGTAAAGTTTGCACTTTAAGTCTTGTAAAGATTGTGTTGTGAAATTTTTTAAGGATTTGCAGTAGGGAGTCATTAGAATCGACAGGCTACTTACTTCTTTACTAAAGTTTCCTGATGAATATCCTTTGCTTTGCACTTGAAGCATATTCTGAAATGTCTCTTTTGCAAGCCTGGGCAATATGTTGCTTCAAAATAGAGGTAATGCTGACACTTTCATGCAGCAGTGCTGGCTCCCATTTGAGTCCCAGAGTAGAGAAACTATCAGCTCTCTTTTGTTTAGCAGATAACAGTGATGCTCTGAGGACCTCATTAGGGTTCAGTCTAGCACTGCTGTAAAAGGCAATTGCATGCAGTAAAGCATTTCTCATTCCTTGATGAAGATTGCCAAAGCAATGTGAGATCCTTCACTGGCTTGGGCAGTACCTCTCTTCATAGAAAGGTCCACCTTTCAAGATTGCATGCACATTCACCAGCATTTCTTCCGTATTACAGAAATGAACATCATAGGTCTTGGAGTGGAAGGTAATCAATGTAGATTCCACAAAAGAGTGGTGCTTATCACTCTCGTGATTCCAGGGTTCCTTAGGGGACCTTCTTCCTGTTTAAATTCATAGTGAAAGTCAATTTCATGTACATCAAGATTAAAAGAAATAATAGTTCAAATATTCACCAAGACAGGACTGCAGATGAAGAAGTAATCCCATAAATCCTCTTTTTACAGATTGATTTGGGGGGCGGGGGTTGGAGGGGTTAAAATCCAACATGTGTACACACATGCATGCATACACACATGCTGGTTTACAAAGGACAAGTTAGACAAGCCACTATTCCAAGATGCTTACAATCATAGACATAGAAAATTATCCAAGGAAGAAGAGGTTTCCAAATCTTATTTAGAAACCATTAACTGTAGTTCCTGGGAATCATGTAATGGTAAACTATGATTAGCTTCAGGTTCCTGACTTTTTCACTCACTTTTATAACTGTGGGAGCAATGCAACCGTGAAAGGGCTCCTTGTAGGTGCATGGAGGTCATGCTGGTTACCCAGGATTTGACTGTCAGAATGCTACACTTGAGAGGGCAATTAAACAGGTAGGAAGAGAAACAACTGAGTATATCTTAATAATATGAAGCCCTTATATAGTGCCGAGATCAGGAACACAACAGTCATGGGAACTGTTGCACCTTTACACACATTCATTGGCACCTGCCATGGCCCCCTACCCTTCCACTGGGTGAGCTTCAGGGCCATCTAAGGTGGGTTGCAGGTCTGGCCTGGAGGAGAAGGAAGAGATGTGCCCATGCTTGTGCAATGGATGAATAAAATGCATACATGCGTGTGTGTGTGTGAAGAGAGGGAGAATGTTTAAGGGTGATCTTGAGAGCAGAAGAGAGTATGTGAACATTGGGAAGTGATCCTGCAAGAGAGACAGATGGTGTTGAGCCTAGCTCTGGTGAGGAGTTAATAGATGAAATGAGAGAATTTTCTGATCCTCACCTCAGTCTCTTGACCACTGTGCTGTACAAGATCTGGAATATGTACATTTTGGATTACAACCATAGCACATTTGATCAAAATGCAGATTGCGAGGAGAAGCCCTTAAATTCCCTGTGTAGCTTAGCTGCATTGTGAATGCTAAATATTCTGCCTAATCTAGCATTAGACCTAACAGTTGATGAATACCAATTAAAAGCCACAAATGTTACATAAATTGCCATTATAATTCAGTTTGTAATTTATTTTAAATAAAATAAAAAAACACTTCTAAAAACTTATTGACAACCCTTCTCCTATTGCCTCCCTTTGTTTACATTATTTTTTCTAAACTCTGTGCAGGTGATCAGCTTTTTTAGCTCACGGATTGAACAAGCTGGAGCTGAGCTATCAGTGGAGCGAGTTCTGGAAATCATCAAGCAAGGAGCCGTTGCACTGCCCAAAGACAGACTCAGAGTGAGTGTTGGCAAAGCTAAAGGGAGGGTGGGATTCCAGCTAGGAGCACTTCCGGGATAGTTGTTGTTGTTGTTGTATAGTTTATGGAACGCACTCCCCAGAGAGGTCCACCTGGCGCTGTCGTTATTTGCTTTTCGGCACCAGGCCAAGACCTTTTTATTTAAACGTTATTTTAATTGTTATTTATTGATTTTAATAATATTTGCCAGGTCTCCAATATTTTATGTGATTTGTTTCAGTTGTGTTTATAGTTTGGAAGCCGCCTCGGGGCTTATGCGAATGGGGCAGCATAGAAGTTCTCCAAATAAATAGATAGATAGATAGATAGATAGATAGATAGATAGATAGATAGATAGATAGCTTGCTAGGCAGAATGTGTATACCGTATTTTTCGCTCTATAAGACACACCTAAGACGCACCTAGTTTTTAGAGGAGAAAAGAAAAAAAATATTCTGAATCAAATGGTTTACTAAACTATTTAATAAACTATAACTGAATACAGTAATACCGTATTTCAACCTTGTAAAGTGAACAGCAGTCAACAGTGGCATTAAGAATCATCATCACTGTCATTAACAAAAGAGAGACTTTAAAGTCCGAGTACTCTTCTAGTTTTTGTTGAACCCATAGAACTCATCATCACTAGAGTTGCTCTGTTGCTCACAATCACTGACATCATTTTCTTAGTCAGTAGTGGAATTATTGAAGGAATCCACAATCTACACCAGTTATACAAGAGCTGCTACAGACAATTCAATAACAAATCTAAAAAAGCCAGTAATGTCCACGCTGCCCTACTAGTAAATAATAGAAAAAAACTTCTGACAAAAAATGTGATATTGTACGGTAAATCAGACACACAGCGGACTATGTAGCCTTTGAAGAATAAACTTCATACACGAAGGTAATGCTGTTCAAATATCCACTGATCCTAAAAAAAATGTGTCTGATCAACTAACAGATAACTGATCCATGGAAAGTTTCCTGATAATCACAGGCACATTCCCCATCACTTCCCCATGTGCTTCATTAAAAGACGGGTTGCCATTTGAAAACACACACCGACCTGTGATTGACAGCTCTCACCTGCGCCGGAGGAGCGGGGCAGAGCAGGGCGCGCTGAGCGTGTGCCAGCCAGGTGGTGCCACGTGGTGCAGACGGCCGGCAGCGTGCCGGCGATGGTCTTCCGGGCGGCGCAGCGGCGGCGGCAGGTCTTCCCGGGCGGTGGGGGTGAGCAGTCCATCTCTCTGTGCTCTCCGTGCGGCCGGCAGGTTAAAGGCCACGGCTCCTCCTCCTCTGCATGCCTCCCCCTGAGCGGCACAGCTCTCACCTGCGCCGGAGGGGGCGGGCAGAGCAGGACGTGCTGAGCGCGTGCCGGCCAGGTGGTGCCACATGGTGCAGGCGGCCGGCAGCGTCCCAGGCGTCGGGCACACACACATTCGCTCTATAAGACGCACAGACATTTCCCTTTACTTTTGAGGGGGAAGAAAGTGCGTCACAGAATGAAAAATACGGTATTTGTGTTTAGGGATCTGTTTGGCCTGATTTATATGTATGCTTCATGTGAAAGATAGGTAATCCTGTTTGTAATTTTTCACTTTTTTAAGGATCCTACTGAGTTAAATTGGTATTTTTTGAAGGAGTGCTCATAAAACTTCTTTGGGAATTGAAAATAAAATGCTTTACCATGAGGACTCAGAGGCACAGAAACAGCTCAAATATGCTGGGCTGTGTCTGTCTAGGTCACTCTGCTAACATGAATGATGTTATATTAGCAGAAAATAGATTCCAAACTCTGCACAGGACAGCAAACCAATGAAAGGTAAGCCTATGAAAACAGTCGCACAACTTTTGCACATTAGGTTTGCCCAGTGGAAAGTTTGGGTGAAACTCCCCTAATAATATTTAAGTTTCTAGAATGACACCATTGGACACTGCTTGCTATCAAATAAAACCATACTGGAACATAAAATAATAGCACTGAACACACTGTAATCTCTCATCTCTACTTAGTAGGAAGCTGAGTATGTGCTTTCTTCTCCTGCTTCCCTCTGGCATGTGGGTACTGCATTATTCAATAGAGTTTGTGCAGTATGTGTGACCCAGATTATGTGATCAATTGCTGGAGTTTTGAGCTAATGAAAATTGGGCTTTTCATGTGTGAATGCCAGTTGCATGGATATCCAGTGGGCTTAGAAATGGGGTGAGCAGAAGGTAGATTTCCAAATGTTTTGTGCTTCAGCTCCCAGCATTCCTAACCATTGACCATGCAGTGACAACTTCTGGTTCAAGTCCAAAACCTCTAGACATCTACTGTCTGCCCTTAGTAGATACCAGGTAGATAGGGAAGAAAGGTGTGGTCTTCTTCCAGTTTAGTCTGGTTTAATTAAAAAATGTACATGAAGACTCCTCTGACTATGTTAAACCAGGGCAGACTGAGCTAGGGAGGTGCTTTAAAGGTAATTGGACTCAAAGCAAATGGGCAGTCGGTGCAGCTTCTTGAGAATTGGTCCAGTGTGACTTTCTCCATCACAGTTCTCGCTGCTGCGATCTGCTCTAGCTGAAGGTTCTAGGTTATCTTCAAGGGCAGCCTCATGTCCAATGTATTACAGTAATCCAGTCAGGAGGCTACCAGCACATGAACCACTGTGTCCAGTCTATCCTTGACCAGGAACGATTATGCAGTCATTGCAATGATGAAGCAACTGAAGGTGGTAAAAGACACTTTTCTCCACCTCGGTCACCTGACCTCCCACAGGATCAAGCATGCACATCAGGCTGAGTGGAACCCAGTCTAGAACCGGTGCACACCAAATTCTACCTTCTTGCATTTTTTCAGGGTTCACATGGGCAGTGAACCCATTATCACAAAACTTCATTTTGGAATCAGCTGCATCCTTCAACAATTGGCAATTAAGGGAAACAGGAGATTCAAATAAGAAGGCATGCTAGTTACATAGAGCAGTGTCCTGCACAGGAACACACTGTAAATTAAGATAAGGGCTTACTGTTGTTTGGATAATTAAGGGGAGGGAGGGTGTTTATACTGCAAATGTTGCCAGAGATGTTTGCCGGATGTTGGCTTGCTTTCCCGTTTCATACACTTTGTTGAGTACTCTGGGCCCAGGCTACAGAGTGGAAGATTAGATGCTAGACTGGCGGACAAACCCTTGACTTTGATCCTGTTGTGGTGTTCTGTCATAGCACCCAAGTTGAGATCTATTTTGCCACACATTTAGGAGGAAGAGGGTGAACATGTTTGACAGTCAAGTCCTGAGAATTGGAAACTCCCTTCTCTACCTAACTGCTTCTCAAGATAAGCATGATATAAATAGCTGTCAGTTTAAAGTGTCTGCTTCTGGCCATGAGCTGCGTAGGGCAGGGAAAGTCCAAACTGGGTAATTATCCTTCTTAGAAATTTGCAGCAGGAGCCGGGAGATAAAGGTGCAGGTGCTGAAATAACCAGCTCTTGGATTTCTCCTTCACCCTGGTGGGAGGAGATAAACAAAGCTAATATGCCTGCGTCTTGAGGCAGAAACGGCATCATTTGGAGATAGAGCTGTCTCCCTGGCAGACAAGCAGCCTACATTACAGGCTCCCTCTTTTATTACAGAAGATTATTATTAAGAGTAATTTAAAGATCATAGTGATAAGTAAAAAAATTGGCTTCTCTGTCTCTCTTCTCCCCCTCCTCCAAAGTTCACAGACGTTGTCCCTTTCCTTTGGGTGAAATTATCTGTAGTTTGAGGATTAAGAGCCTGAGAGGAAAGAGACCAAGTCTGGAGTCTGGGAGTTATCTCAGGGTTTTTGTGGAAGTTAGCCAGAAGATAGCTGTACTTTAAAAAAAAAATAGTAGTAAGTGGGAAAACCTGTTCTGAATGCCAGGCGTTATTAACTGGAAGCTGACATTTCAGTTCATAGAGTGAGCAACATTTAAGAGATCACATTTAAATGCTTTTGAAAGAAACTTCCCGCTGGTTAAGCCATTTGAAGAGAAAACATTTATTTTACAAATGGGTTTCCTCTGTTGAATTCCCCAGTTTTATTTTGCAATGTATTTATTGCCTAGGTTTTTGGACTCCTCCTTTTTCACGTTTACTTTTCTCACATACTTTCCAATATGTTCCTAACCTTGCCTCTTGTCTACACAGTATTGGAATACCTAACATTAAAAACAGAGCTGCTTAGCTGGAGACTGAAGCCTAATCTCTAGAAATTGGAGGGACCGGGGGGTAGGGGGTTGTGCTCTTTCCAGCTCATCTCTGTGCTGGTCCTGTTTGTCCAAAATATTCTGGGCTGGGCGTGGGGGTTTCTAGACCTTGACTTCCTTGTTTAATGGCTTCAAAGTGCAGTCCTATTTCATGGGAAACAACCCCTCTAAAATAAGCTAAGGGATGAAAAATAAATGGAAGCAGCATTGTTTTTGGGATTACCAGGTTCTTGATCCTAAAACTTATATTACGAAGAGGGTAGTATAGTTCCTTCATTTAGTTGCAGGAACTATGCCAGCACTAATCTGAGTGGGAAAACCTGAGAAAGCAAACTGCAGCTGAGCAGTTGCAAGTCATGTCTCTGAGGCATAGAAATGGTTCAGAGCAGGACCTTCCCTGTGGCTGAAGTCAAGCCCTATCCCAAGATTTAGGTTCAGAACATGCCTTGTGAACATAAGAAAGTGTAAGAACGTAAGAAAAGCAATAGCATCTCCTGTCCAAGTAACTGCTGTGCACAGGTGGGCCGCCTTCGATACTGGAGACAGCATGTAGCCTTTGCATCGGGTAACCATGGAGAGCCTTCCCCGGCATGACTCCCCTTTTAAAGCCATCCAAATGGGCAGCCATCACTACGGCTCGTGGAAGGGAATTCCAGAGTTTAACTATCCCGTGTTTTGAAGTCCTTCCTTCCTGAATCTCCCACCAACCAGTTCTGCTGCTTTACCAATAGGCTGGAGTCTAAACCTGCTCCTGAGACTGAGGGAGGGCAGCAGCTGATGGGCCACAAT